TCTGTCCCATATTTAAGCAGGAAATGTTTGATTCAATAATCTTTTTTTGTTAGCATGTGAACAGTTTCACGATTATGCATGAGCCACACATTTTCTTGCACTTTGTTCTATAGAAAATTGATTATCGCCGCTGAAATTCTGCTAGACTTGCTTATTCCAGGACATAAAGACACATGCAGTCACTGCTGAATTGTATTAAGCAGAAGTTACTCTGCTGACATTAAAAGAGCTTCTAGATTTTCAGCAGTTTAGTTTTTAGTCTAACTGAATGATTCAGAAACTCTCAATCTCAGTCAGCAATAATCAATATGGAAGTTGGTGTTTTCACAATCAATATGAATCAGAGGTGACAGACATGTGAGGGTGACAGACAGGCTGAACTTTACATCCTTCTGTCGTGCCAGCGGGGGGTGGTGGGGGTGAGTCTGAACAGCTATTTGATTTGATATGATTTGTTTTTTCCAGATATCTGTGGTTCTCCAAATTTGGAGACATTTCTTGGTAGCTATCAGATATATTACCAAATTTAGGACAGTGAACAAATTTTATTGGGAAGTTTCTCATTCCCCTCAGGAGAAATTTTTGAGCTGATTGTAAAACTTTTATTTACCTCTATTTGTGGAGAAATTATTCTAATTTTAAAAATCTCTGGAAAGAGCTCCTCAGGTAACTCTTAATATGAGTTTTTTTTAAAGGGCTTCATATTTGAGTCATGCAAATCAATCCAGTAATGGGAACATAGACAATAGTTGCTGTTCATTTAAAGTCAATCGTTTTCACATCCTCTTTCCACAGTTTCCACAGTTAAAAACTTAAATGTCAATAAATGTCAGTAAATGTCTTCCTTTTTCACCCTTGTTGCTCCAACACCAGTTGACCGTGAGCCAGTGTTTTAGTGCAAATGGAGATATAGATCCCCCCGGATCTGTTTTACAAGAGTGGGAATCTGAGACTGAAAGTGACCCGAACCAGTAGATGATAGAGAGAATCATAATCTTCAAGCTCTGTAAGATACGTAGCCACCGAACAAAGATACGTCCACTGCTCCCTATGCAGCTGCAGAGAAGAACAAACAGTACAGTGAAATTCTTCCAAGCGTCTGTGCTTCTCATCAACACTGACACGTGGGTGATTTTTCCATACACCTACGACTAACTGCCTCAAAAACACCCAGAGACACTGCTGACACACTATGTACTTCGCTGAAGTGTGCTGCCAGCACGCCCATTCTTGTTTACTATCAACCACATGTCCTGCTCCTTCCTGGAACAGGAAATGCTCCAGAGAAATGGAGATGGATACATGTCCACTCCTTCGCAGGGTCAGAAGTGCAGACCTCCACCCCGACACAGTGCAGCTGGTATATCTGGCCTTGCTGCGTAGTGTCATGGGAGGATTATGAGGCAAAGCTCAAGAGGGGGATTGTTCCTCAGCATGAGCATGTGTGCATGCGTGTGTGACTGGCTGCTGTCATGCGCCTGTCAGCTCCAGCATCATTGATTCTTCCTTAAGGTTCTTGTCAGGAAAATACAGAGCAAATCGCTCAAAATGCACACACAACTCCTTTTTGTGAGTGCGTGTTTGATTGCGTGTGTCAGCATGTGTGCAAACGTGCTGCTTTCCCCTTGACTGCACGCTCTGACAGCTCCGTGAGTATGTATAGCCTCTATTGTTAACACGTGTGGCCTCAGCCTCCACAGTTCAGTCGATTTTCGGGAAATGACCTCACAAACAGAAGCACTGCTGATCGGTTTAGGGTTGCTTTTTTCTGCTTCTTCCTCTGACAGATTATGTGTCACGGTTAAACATCTAGAGGTCTTCTTAAGGCCTGAGTCACTGCAGTCTGAGTCAGGCCTTTGTGTTAAATGTACACGCGTATACGAGGCTTGCAACACACCACCTACAGATCTTGTGAAATACATTTCCAACAACCGTCCAAGATGATTTAGTATCCTCGCCTTCACTGATGAATCACACGCAAGCTTCCTCATCTATTGATGTCTGACTCAGGGGTCTTATTTTCAGGGAGGTCCACACACACACACACACACACGCACGCGCACGCACGCGCACGCACATGCACACACATACACACCTTTTCTTGGAGATTGCTACAGTCAAGCTTTTGTATGTTTATGGTCAGTGAAACATCAGAGCCACGCTACTCTGCAGCTACCAATATGTGTGCAAAACAGCATTCCTTGCATGTTAGCGCCGATTAGTCAGTCATCACTAAAAGGTAAACAACATGCACAGTAAAGAGGTATGATAATGACTAAGAAGGCAATGACTGTGAAACAGAGGTATACATCGCTCCGAGCACCTTTCTTCAGAAGGTATGAGGTTGTGTAAGAGATGTTATAGCTATAATTACCGAGTTGTATGGAAAGCAGAAGCAGAACGGCCTCATCTTTGCTCACATCAGTGACAGAAGCCGTCTGAAAGCTTTTCAGATATGATGTGTAATTTAGAGAGGCTGCTTTGAATCTTGGGGATGACTGGCACAGGCTGGACAAAAGACTATGGCGTGCGCATAGACACGCTCCAATCAGGAAGTAAAGGCTGACAAAAATCTCTGAAGTCAGTAAAAAATGTTTTTTCAGAGAAACTGTAAACGCCCCATTTCAAAGATGCCCCAAGCTATTTTTCAAAATGCAACATGAATTGCTTTGTTTTAGTGGTGATCAACTTTGTGTGTTTTATTGCTTTCTAAATTCTTAATTTTTCTTATGACTATAAATGTTAATTTGCCAAGTGAGGTAATCCTACAGCATATTATCTAATAAAGAAAACCATCCCAGTGGGCTTTCTGCTGAGGCTTACCCGGATCATTTTTTTCAATTAAATTGTTATTTAAATTAGACAGTAATCACTTTTCTCTACAGTCTAATGTAATAAAATTAATAATAATAATAATAATAATAATAATAATAATAATAATAATAATAATAATAATAATAATAATAATAATAATAATT